TATATTGATAGATATAGAGAAGTAAAATACACTAAATACCATCTGGAATCATTAAGTGTAACACAAAACCCTAACAATAAGTAACTGTCCTATTTTGAATCCTCTGCAAATCAATAATTTGTTAATAGCAGGGTAGTGACACACTTCAATTAGAGGTAACACCTGAGGATGTTTACGTTAAGAAATCTTGTGTATTTCTGAAAATAAATGTTTCCCTAGGAAAAAGTACAGCTGTGTAGAAGTCTGCTAAAGGTATTCAGTTTAGAACAAAAAGACAAGATCAGATAGAGGTTCCAACAAAAGGATATATCACAGGAAAAAGCACCTAAGCAATCCCATCCAAGAAAAATAAAAATTAGACCCATTTCTGACAGTGATAGATGATTTCATGCAAAAAAGAGAAAAACTAGATTAATCTAAAAAGAAGGTATACTGCAAGATTCTATAAAGGAAAAAAGAATAGCACAAGATTCTTAAGTATCTACGTTTACACTGATTCTTTCTGGCAATCTGGCAAACTGATCCCCATGAACAGAAAAGTAAAAGAACAAATAGAGAAAAGTGTTTGATGAAATGGGTTAAGTGGAAATCCAATTTTTACTGTGAATCAACCCACTAATATTACAGTAATGGGTATAAAAAGGTGTGTATTTATTGTGTTTTGCTACGTACAATTTAGACTCAGTTACAAAAATCGGGTAATAAATTATTTTGTGCCCAGGTTCCACTAAAATAACACCTATCTCCCCCTTCAGGACAGATCTCATCCAACAGAGAAATGGTTCAAGGGAACAAGGATGATGGGAGAGGAGGGAAGGGGAAATGAGAGGAATAAAGATGTGCCATGTGCAGGATCCTAACAACTTCAACCAATGTAAACACTGCATGCCATAACATGAACTATGAAAAATAATATCAACAAGTATGAAAAAGCTGATAGGGAACCAGACAAGAAGGGGGGAGAGGCTTAGATAGAAAAAAACAAGCTGCAATATGTACAAGTAACCACTCCCACAATGACTGTAAACTGCATAAATTGCAAACATGTACTAATAAAATAAAAATTTTAAAGAAAAGATCGTTACCCTTCAATGTATTAATTATTCTTAATATATATTAAGTATGGGAATTGAAGCCAGAGAAATGTCCTGCCCAGAGAAAACGTGGTATAAATGGAAATAATACATGTTAACAGAAAAATCAATAATAAGTACAAAACTATTAAAATCTTTCTACTGACAACCTAAATATCTACAGTTCCCAAAGCTATTAAGTTACATACCTTATTTTCTTGGCCCCACTGCCAGATGCTGGGAGCTTGCATGCCAAAGAAAGCAAAAGGATCTTTGCCAACAATTATTAAGCCTATTAATACTAGTTTGAAGATTGACAGGAAAGATGCTATGTGTCTATCAAAAGAAAAGAAATAAATTCATCAGAAACCTCAATTTGTTACCTACTTTAAAATGTAATAATTTAAGTACATGTATATATTTTCTAAAAGTTACCATGGAAAAAGTAATGAAAGTTTCTTGTACAGTTTAAAAAACAAAAGTATTTAATCAGTTTAAAAAACAAAAGTATTTAATCATTTTACTCAATCAAAAAGTACCTTAAAATTATGTGGAATTGGCCTTTAAAAATACAATTATTTTGGGCAACACCACACCTACCTTGCAGCACACAAAGTCCTGAGATTGATCCCCGGTACCAAAAGAAAAATTATTTTAAGATAGTACAGGGGCCAGGGATGTAGCTTAGCAGCACAGCACCTGCCAGGCAAGCAAGAGCAAGGTCTTGAGTTCAATGCCTGGTACCAAAAAAAAAAAAAAGCTAATACAGAATTTAATATCACTGACTTGCTATGCAATTTTGGGGACCTGGGTAGAGCACACACTCAGTATGTGAAATGCCCTGGGTGTGACCCCTGGCACCAAAGAAAAAAGTTGGGAAGGGAGGCTAGCCTACTTCCACAATAAAGAGTACTTAGGAAAACATTTCTTTCTTTCTTTCTCTTTTTGCTACTGGGATCAAACTTGTGACCTTGCGCTTGTGAGGCAGGCGGCAGCACCACTGAGCTAAATCTCCCCACCCTAGAAAACATATCTTTAAAACAGTTGTCATCTCTTGAAACAACTTCATTCCTTCTACCAGAAAAAGCCTTCTAAATTTGGCTCAAATAAACTTGCTATTTATAAAGCAGTTTTCTCTGTTTAATAATATAACCAATATGCCGGGCGTGGTGGAGCACGCCTATAATCCCAGCACTCGGGAGGCTGAGGCAGGAGGATCACTGTGAATTCAAGACCAGCCTGGGCTACATAGTGAGGTCTGGGTCAGTCTCAACTACATAGCGAGACCCTGTCTCAAATAAATAAGTAAATAAACAGTTAAATAAAAAAATAAGATGATGATAATATAACCAATAAAAGAACAATAACCAAAGAAAGTTACTTAAATGACTCCACAAAGATTATAAAGTCAATAAATCATTTTCCTTTATAGTTACTGAAATTTACCTACCTATAAATTGGTTGTGGAAGGTAATTCTCTCCTTCAATTCGGATGTCTGGGTACCTCTGGCTAATAACCCTCATGTACTCCTCAAACACCCGCTTATAACCTCAGGAAACACTGAAGAAAAATGAAAATGTTTCCATTAAGTGCTTTAGAATACACCTATGTAGATTTATTTTTCAGTAGACAAAGTCTAAAGATTATTACCAAGATTACAATTTTTTCTTAAGCTTCATCAGAAGTTAATGATTAAACCTGGGAGATTGTTTTTCTTTACAAATTCCACACACTTCAATTGAATTCCTCTCATTATAATATGAAACTTTGTAGCTCTGGGTTATTGTTAGACATTCAAGTATCTTCATATATATTAGCATATCATGAGCTCCAATGCAGTATTTTTTTTTTTTTAAATCAGTGGCTCAAACAGTAAAATTAAAACAGTTCTTATTCATGAGTTGCGACTTTCACATTTGGGGCCCTAGAAACATACAAACAATACCAAAGCATGAGACATAAAACTCTGGTTCTTATTTTTACTCTGCCCCTAAATGGGCCCATTTTTTGCTCAACCATAGTAAGAGGAACTTAGACTAGACTTACAGCCCTTCTCACTCACAAGTGTTTTTATTTTGCAAAACAAATAAAGGAAAACAAGATTGGGAAAATAATTCTCGGTAATATGACATTCCTCTGCAAATTAAGTCCACAGCACCCAATCTCCATTAAAAGTATTTGAACAACTCACTGCAGATACTGTGTATGTTTCTCAGCAAGTACAGGGAAATACAGCATCAGAGAACATTATTTATATATATGTGGAAGTGGCAACACCATTTCAATCAAGAGCTATTCAAGCACTTAAACTTTTACTCAGTTCTAAGGTAAGGGATATATATACCATGAAAAAATGAAGGTACCACTTGGAACAAGGAAGCGGAGTCAGTAATTAACACACAGTAAAGCCTAAAGTGCCAGCTTTGTCAATCAAAGGGGGGGGGAGCAATACTTATCACCTCTCCCAATCCAAGGAAATAGCTTATGGTTTATATCTGACAGGGTGAAATAGTACAAATATTACTAGATCTCAATTTTAAAAACCTGCATTAAAAAAAGAGAAAAAGAGATGCTTAACCCAACAGTTTTTCTTTGAATTTAGAATGTTTCAGAAAAGAGTAAATCTCTATAAAAGTATGAATTTTTAGAGATAAATCTCTAGAGCTAAATATTTAAATGAAATTTTATTATTACATTATATTTTTATACATTATTATTTATACATTATATTATGACATTATATTTTTTATTCTTTCCAAGAAGCATGCTGGGCTTTTATTACTAATCCAATTTCAAATTTATAGGCAAGTTACCAGAGTAAAAATAAAGATGTTAAGTATACTTTTCACCTATATTCTTTAAGTATTAGTATTTTAACATAACTGTTTTCTCTAAGAATTTTAATGTTGCTGCCATTTTAAAGATATTACAAAAATAAGCTAGATAACTTATAAGCCCAGCCAATTTAAAACCAAGAAAAACCACCTGACTTCAAAGCCAAAGTTTGCACTGGTGTTTACAATGGAGCAGATTATCTAAACAGCACTTTTTTAATGTAGTATTTTGAGGAATAGGGATTTGGTTAATTTAGTCAACACTGGAAGGGGAACTATCGGTTTATATTCCAGCTAGGAGGAGTTAGTTGATGGAGAGGAAATGAGGAGGCTAGATTATCACGAAGCCAACCACAGTGGACTATGACAGGTTCTACTGTTTTGTTTTTGTTTGTTTTTTTAACAAACACTGACTGTTGACAGGTACCAAGTTCCAAAATTGGAGCATTATGCAAAACAGACAAAAATCTATGTATTTTTGCTGCTAGTAGTAGTACAATGGAGGCGATAAAGTTTGTTAGTTGACAATATCTGAAGCTGTTTCTCATCTTGTTTGAGAAAGGAGTACAAAGAAAGAAAACACCCAAAAGACTATGGGGGGAAAGGCCACAAAACAAAACAGCAGAAGCAGTAACCAAAAGATTAATAAAGAGTTTATATTCATAGCTAATCTGCAATGGATGATAAAATAAGTATGGAAGGACTTCAAAAAAAAAGCTCAAAATCAAAAAGCAGAATTAGAGCCAGATATGGTGGTACACCCCTGTAATCCCAACTTTGGGAGACTGAGGCAGAATGATCACAAGTATGAGTCAGGATTAACTCAGTGTCTTAATAAGACGCTGACTCAAAATAAAAAAGAGTGCAAAGGTCCTGGGTTCAATCTCCAATACCAAGAGGAGAGAGCAGAATATGGTATGAGGCCCTCAAAAAAATCAAAACTACAATGAATTATAAACTTACATCTACTAGGATGGCTACTTTCAAAAAAGAAGAAAATAACAAATGTTGGTAATAAGAAGTAATAGGAACCTTTGTGCACTGTTGGTAAAAAAAATGTGAAAGGGTACAGCTATTACTGAAGTACCTAAAAAAAAACTGAAAATAGAATTACTGTATTATCCAAGTGCTACGGTTTCAATCTGATTTGTTTCCTTCAAAACTCATGCTTAGGTCTTGAGAGAGATTAACATGTTCCATGTTCTGCCAGCTTGAACCTGGCTGTCCCCTTGAGCAGCTTGTACCACTGACGGTACAAACAAATCTAAATCACTTTTATCAGTCTTTTTACTAATAAAATTAATAAAAAGCCACCTGACGGATAGTCATGCATGTACTACTGGTGGCCCAAGCTGCCCAGCAGCAAGACATACAAATTTTGGCCCTGTGTTGAACGTGTTAATTTTTTTCTCAAGAGAGTGGGTTAATTCTTGTAGGAGCAAGACTGGGATGTTGCAAAGCAAGTCTACCACTCATGCTTTCTCTCTTCAGTGCTGGCTTGCCCTTCCAACTTTTCCCACATTAAGATGAAGCAGTATAGAGGCCTTGTTAGAGGCTAGTGCTGAGCTCTTGGACTTCCCAGCCTCCAAAACTTTAAGCCAAAAGAAACAACTTTCCTTTGTAAATTACTCAGTCTCAAGTATTCTGTTACAGCACTGTAAAATAGTCCAAGGCATGGGCAATCCCAACTGTGGGCATATATACAAAAAATGTAAAGCAGGATCTTGAAGAGATATTTGTACAACCATGTTGATCACAGTATTATAAAAGGTAAAAGCAACTAAAATATCTACCAATTGATAAATGAATAAAGAAAAGATAAAACATTATCCTTTAAAAAAATCTTGCCATTTGTTACAACATGGATGAAAAATGAAGATATTATACTAAGCAAAATAAGCTAGTCCCAAAGGACAAATACCATATGATTCCATTTATGAGGTATCTGAAGTGGTCAGAATCACCAGAAGTAAATAAATAGCTAGCTGGCTACCAAAAGATGGAGGAAAAAAAGTGGGGGAACTAATGTTTAACAAGTATAAAGTCAAACTTGCAAAATACAAAAGTTCTATAGATCTACTACATAATAAATCTGAATACACAACATTAATGAACTGTTCACCTACAAAAAAATTAAGATGGTATACTTAATATACTTTTTAACCATACATATACCAAAAAAGATATGTTGAGGTCCTGAAGAAAAAAAGTGATGGGGTGGAAACTGAAATCTGTGACAGATGAATAAACACCCGGTGGCCCAATTCTGTAATCCCAGCCCTTGGTATGCTGAGGCAGGAGAACAACTCTAAGTTCAAGGTGAGCCTGGGCTACATAATAAGTTCAAGGCCAGCCTAAGCTACACAGTGAGACCTATAAAAGATCTAACGATTTGAATAGTATCATTAGTGGATGGATCTATAATCTAATTAATCTAATAGACGGGTCAGATTTTCTTTCTCTAGAAATCATCTTTCTGAAAGCCTACCAATCATTTACAAAAACCTAGTTAGAAAGAGCAAATGTCATTCTTAGACTACAGTGGAGCAAAACAGAAAATTTCTGAAAACCCAACCCACTCCATGATCTTCCAAGAATACTAATTAAACTATGTCAAAATTTAAAATGTAATATCCTTTGAAATTCTAACAAAGTACTTCTATCAACCATATTTTTTATGGAAATAATTGGGTAAGTACACAAAAGTACTGAAGGATATCTAAGCTAAGTGATTTTATTAAAAACTCAAACCAGCATAAATGTTAACTAATATAGCATTATTCAAGAAAGCATATCCACTTTATGGACACTATGCCTACTGATACAAATCTGTATTCACTGATGTGAAAAGATAAGTGGGAGGTAGGTATGTGTTTTAAAAGCATACTCTGGCTAGGCATAGTGGCACACGCCTATAATCCCAGCACTTGGTAGGCTGAGGCAGGCGGTTGCCCAAAGTTGAAGGCCAGCCTAGGCTACACAATGAGTTTAAGGCTAAGCTGAACAAGACCCTATCTCAATAAAAACAAAAAAACAGAAAAAACCCACCACCACCACTACCACCAGAAACCTCCAAAATAAAATTAAAGCATACTATAAATCTATTTATAATCATATAATATGTGTCATCTTGAAGACTATAAGACATATTCTATTACACAGTACACAGGATTTTTCACTTTGTCCTTTAACAGTTCCATTTTCTGTCCCTCTTCCTCCTACATGTTAGGTCAAGCTTCATTTGCATTATTCTTCCCTTAGCTTGAAAAGCCCTTTCTCTGCACCTCCTAGAGTTCCCCATACCCTTCAAGGTTTCATTTCTTCCTCTGCAAAGGCTTCCAACTCCTTCTGAGTAATTCTTTTGGTTTTCTTTTAGCCCTCTATTACAACCAACCTTATTACATTATTCTATTTACTGTAAATACTGTATCTCCCACCAGACAACAGGTTTTCAAACCTTACTGTTTAAAAAATATCCTATCTTCCCAAGAACTAGATAAAAGGAGGGGCGTGATATGAAAAAAAGGGGGGAGCAAACAAAACTTAGGCTGTGCCACCATCACCACAAGACTTGATCATCAGCAGTTCATGCCAAACCTACATAATGAGATTCCCTCACCAACCCCACATTGCACTGCAGTTGGAGTAAGGTATGTAAAAACATATAACTGTACTTTTTGGAAAACAGGGACGAACGAAGTAGAAGGATCCAAATATATTCTTAAGTAACAAAGATTAAAAAAACAAAAAACCAACAACCCTGGTGTAGTGGCACACACCAGTAATCCCAGCACTCAGGAGGCTGAGGTGGGAGGATCACAGGGGTCTGTGAGTCTAGATTACACAGTGAGTTCAAGACCAGCTGGAACGACATAGTGGGACCCTGTCTCAAAAAAAAAAAAAAACAAAAAGAGAGAGACAGAGAAAAGATATTCATGGGTTCACTTTTTTCCTGTTAAGCCTATTTTTTTGTGGGTTTTTGTTTTGCTTTGTTGAGTCTCACTTTGCAGTTCAGGATGGCCTTGAACTCACAATGTAGCACAGGCTGGCCTGGAATTTGCACCAATCCTCCTGCCCATAGACGTTCAGCTTCCTAATACTGGGATTTGGGATTTTTCTTATGATATTATTGTGTCATAAATTAAACAGCAGTATTTTTCCTTTCTAAATGTTATATAAAATAATGCTGCATCTTATAATCCATTGTTAGGCTTGGTGAAGTACAGTAACTGCCAAGTTTTCTAGTTTAACTTAAAATGGTTATTTTGGAGTGATAAAAATTCTTTGTGGGGATTTTCTCCAAGATGCTGTCTTTAGTCTTCAAAATTCAATATTCCTTCACTTCCTTGTCACAGAAAACTAACCCACAGAATTTATTTCCTTTAATTGTTTATCACACCAGGGAATAGTAGAGCATCATTCCAGAGCGCATGAGTCATCTTCGCCAGTTCTTGCTTCTGCCACTTCTCTCCAAGCGTCTTCAGTCCATGTGATCTGTGGGGAAAGTGGTTCCAGGACCCCACCCGCTTTGGATACAGAAATGTACAGATGCTCAAATCCCTTACATAAAATGCCATAGTGTTTGCGTATAACCTACTCACATCTTGTATATTTTTAATCCTCTCTGGATTACTTTTAATACCCAATACAATGCAAATGCTACGTGCATTGTTTCGGGAATGACAAGGAAAAAGTGTGTACATGTTCAGTGTACAAAGGGCCAACTACATCACCTAAAACTACTGACTTTACTCATGATCTCTCAAACTTCTTTGTACATCTACCACCACCACAGTATTCCAAGCTCCACCTTCTCTCATTTGGAAAACTCTTAAAGCCCTCTCTCCCAAATGTTTGTCTTTTCTTTGTCTTCTGGATTTCTGTCCACAATGAAACGAGGTGGTCTTGGGCTGGGGATTTAGCCTAGTGGTGCTGCCGCCTGCCTCACAAGCACAAGGTCCTGAGTTCGATCTCTGTTACCAAAAAGACAAATCAAAACAAAACAAACTAGGTGGTGTTTTCTAGGATGGCTCACCAGACCTTCAAGCAAAAATCTGTTTTTGTAATGGCTGCTTCATTTACCTCTTAAAAATGCAGTTAGAAGTTGGCTGTCTGAAAATTACAATGGTTGATAATTAGATTAACAATGATTTAAAAATTCTGCTATGTTCTGCTTATGTGTTGAAACTTTAACTCCATTTAATCTACAATCCTTAGTAGTAATTTAACTGTCAAATGTTCATTATTAACTGTAAAAGGTTAGTCAGTAATCCCTTTAAATTACAGCAACTATAGATTTGATAACATGTTAAATCACAGGAGGAAATAAAGCAGATATGTCAAGCACCATACCTATAAGTAGTGATTATAATACATCTACAATTGCAAATCAAAGCACGAAAAGTAACAAGGGAACTTCCTTTAAATGTTCAATGCTTAAAAGTCCAAAATAAACAGTGTGATTTTTTCAAATATGAAATCAATGCCACTAAAACTATCATATTCTATTGATAGGATTAATTAACATAATACACCAAAGAATCAAAATACACAGAATAACACTGTCCCATTTTTGTAGGCTTCATGAAGTGGTGATATCTATCTTGTTTACAATGAAATCTTTCCTTCCTGGCACACAGCAGGAACTGAATGAACATTTAATTAAAAATGAAAATGAAACTAGAATTGACAACTCTGTAATAAGCTTCATACTCTTAATGGATTTAATTCCTTTGTGCATCATGTTGCTATTTGTTCTACTAGCAATTATAAAACTCATATAATTACCACTATGGTTAAGAAAAAATATAAAATAAAATAAGGAACCAAAATTAATACAAAGTTCAAAATAGCTCTTTTTCAAATTGTTAATGAAAAACTGCATTGTATAGCACTGAGATTTCAAATAGAATTTTTAAGACTTCATGTTTATCCTCAATTGAATTAGCTTCCTCTCTTTTCTCTAACTTGCACATGAATATTCAAGATATTCTATCAAAACTAGAAATCTAATATTCACTTTACTGTAAACAGATTAATCTCTAGGAGAAAGAACAAACAAGCTGAATTTTATCTGTACATGATAGGGCAAATAAGTTACTTTCTACGTATATACTGAATATTTTAAAGTGAAGCACTTCTGTAACATGCTCAGAGTGACTGCAAAAGAAACTCTTATATCAGACTTTTGAAACAAGTCTGCACTTAAAGCAAAAGCCAAGTCTCAAAGGGCAACTCAGATGCTTTTGACTTTTTTATAAAGCTTTAATTCGAGGGACTCAATGTCCCTCCCTACATTTGTTTACACAGTTTGAAAGCCTTGTTAAGAATATCCTCAACGGAAAACACACCTGGTAAACTGACAATAATTCTAACACAAATGTAAAGAGTATTTTGCAAAAGCAAGAGATAGGACAGTAAGATAAAGAAAAATTATACAACTTTAAAGTTGCATTTTTAAAAAACTGCAGAACTTATGTCCAAAGTATCTTCCAAGGTTGGTAAAATGACTACCACTTTCTTATAAAAGTTAAGGGGTGGTTGGAAGAATGGATTAATGATGAGTGCTTAGTATGGCAAAGCTCTGGGTTCGATCCCCAACGTACACGAAGAGAGAACGGCCAAATTATGCTTCCAGTTGCAGTATTATTCAAAGATGAGGTACAAATCTAGACTTTAGTACCTATGTTAATACGTGAACTTTTAAAAAGCTATTTATGGAGGGCAGCTGTGAACATCTGTAATCCCAGCCCTCAGGTAGGATCTTCTGAGGTGTTAAATGTCTCATCTTTAACCATTATATTGTTTTAAAAAAAATACAAAATCTGGGCCTTTCAAACCCGGGCCTTTCCCAATCCGACTCATAAAATTTATCAATGTCCTGCCTGTAGTACTTAGATCTGTTAGGTAACAACAATATAATTACAGACTAATAAAAACCCCAAGTTTCTTTTCCTGTTTCTATGAATGCACAAGACTTTTGAAAGGCAGGAACATGCCAGAGCAGGCCACTGCCGGGTAAAGACCACTCTGGAAGCGAACGGTCAAAGTTTTGAAGAGCGACAGGCTCTTTTTCTGACACTTAGGAAATCGCAAACTGAGAACCAGCCTCCCCAGACATCAGAGGGCCCCCACTCCCTCACCGAACAGTCACCCGCCAGGCCCAGGAAGACAAGGTGTCTGTCACTCCCGGGTCCCCTCCAACGACCCGAATTATCCTCACCCTTCACCGAGCCAGGCAGGGAGACAGCCGGGTATGAATGCAGGCAAGACGACAGGGGAAGTTAACTGCCTGTAGTATAAGGCGAACCAGCGCCACGCACACTCATCCCCATCTCCGCCGGCAGCCGGGGCAGCAGGGCGCGTCGCTGCCACCCGCCCTCCGTAAGAAAAATGTCCCCGCGTCCTCGCCTTCCAGCGTTTAGCCTTCTTCCGCCCTCCTACACTAGTCCCACCATTCTAAAACGCAAAAGGAAAGGAGAGCTTGTGTCAGGAGGAGAGGAGGGCGGCCCGATCGTCCCGCGGCAGCGTTCTAGAGGAGGCCGACTGCGGGACGGCACTGGCGCCGTTTTTCAGAGCCGCCGAAGGTGCGGCCGGATAGGCCGCTAAGCCGGGGCCTCGCGTAGTGACGCCCACGAGCGATGGCGCGGCAGGGCGGACTGGGCGGCGCACATACCAAATCTGGAACTTGAGCAGCGGCCCCGTGGCGTACTGCATCTTCAATCTCTTGGTGGGCACGTCGCCCAAATCGGCCGACGCCTCGCTCCGGACCACTGCCGACGCTGCCGCGAAAAGCAATAGCAGAAACCTCATCTTGACTGCCTGGAGACGGACCCCTCCGCCGCCTTCTAACCGAGACTGCAGCCCACCAAAGCCTAGGCGCGAGCTGCTCCCCACTGCGCAGGCGCGATTCGCCAAGGTCAGGGACGGAAGCCGGAATGCGACTGCGCGGCTCCGCCTGTGCATGCTCTGGGTGGGAGAGTTGATCTGTTTTCTCGGTCCTGTCGGGCCTCCATGTTGCCAGTGTGCAGAGGTTTGGAGGGGAAGAGAGCGGGAGGCGGAAAGGGAGCAGAGAAGCTACTGAGTTATCCGGAGTCATTAATTGTTGCGTCCAGAAGATCTGAACTCTACATCTATTTTTTTTGTTTTGTTTAGTTTTTTGGTACCGGGGATCGAACTCGGGTCCTTGTGCTTGCAAGGCAGGCGGCGGAACCACTGAGTTAAATCCCCAGCCCCTACACCTATTTTTTATTAATTCAGACATTTAGCTGTTTGAGACAGGTATACTTACTTCATGTGACAGAGGGAAGGGAATGTCCTGACCCTCTGAACTGAATCATAATGCTCAAACTTTTTTATGGACTTTACTTTGGTCTTATAATATCTCTTTCCTAAAATAATATTATAAATAATTTTTTAGAAAACGTGTAAAGTTTCAGACATATACAAGAATAATTACTTTTCTATCAACCAGTTTTAACATTAACAATGACTGGCATTTTGCCCATTCTCAGGTATCAGATCATTTAATCTATAATTATTTGTCCTAAATTCTATATCTGTTAGGTAAAAAGGGCCGAAAACCAAGACCAGACCAGGACCATAACAAGCCTTTATTATAGGGAGGATCTGCCAGGTTGTCTCTGAACAGAGGAGAGAGAGAGAGAGACAGAGCGATATAGCTGAGACAGCACTTCTTATAGAACTGGGCGTGAGGCTCATAGGGGCTGGGGTGGGATTGAGTGCTGTAGTGGCTAGGGATTGGGGGAGCTTGTGACATTACCAGGATGGGCTTGTGTCATCACTTTAGGGCCATCTTAAGGCAAGGGAAATCTAATATTCCAAGCTTTTGTTTTATGGTTATTGGCCAAAGGTCTCTTCTGGAGCTGCTTCAAGCTGACAAAGGGGCTGGGTACTAAACCTGGATCTGGTGGGGGCAGTGGTAGGAGGGGCTTCTTCCCTCTGCCGCAGTGGCCTGTACCCCCCATGATGAGTTCTGTGACTGTCTGGTTGGTAAATGCTCCCATGTGTTCCTGCAAGAAATTTTTGAAAACAGTGAAACAGACAGGGCCTTGTCATGATTAAAAGACATACGCAGGCCAGTGGGCCCAACAAGGGAAGTAGCCAAGGCATCATCTGGGGAAGCCAGGAATAGCTTTGGTTTATTCCCCAAGAATTCCACCATCTCTTTCGCTCTTCAATGTGCTGCTGTAATTCTTTTTTTGAGACAGGGTCTCACTATGTAGTTGAGACTGACCTGAACTCACTATGTAGCCCAGGCTGGTCTTGAACTCCCAGCGATCCTCCTACCTCAGCCTCCCGAGTGCTGGGATTACTGGTGTGCGCCACTATGTCCGACATGCTGTAATTCTTTGTTGTTGTTGTTTTGGTACTGGAGATCGAATTTAGGACCTTGTGTTTGTGAGGCAGACAGCGGTACCACTGAGCTAAATCCCCAGCTCCGCTGCTGTAATTCTTTAACTTTTGCTTTAAAAATCCCTGACTGGTTAACAAAATAACAACATTCTTCACCTAGCATCTGGCATGTTCCCTCTTGGGCCTCTGTCAGCATATGAAGGGCCTGTTTGTTTTGTAACACCACCGCTGCTAGAGAATTTATTTGATCTTGTACTGTATTTAAGGACTGGTTTATTTCATCCATGTCTTCCGAAATCTGTGTGGATAGGGCCTGATAGAAACGTGTGGATGTAGAAGTGCCTGCTATCCCTGTTGCCACCCCAGTGAGGACCCCTGCTTCCATTAAAAAGGGGGCTAAAAGGGGAGCTGCCCTTTTTCTGTTTGTGTTCTGTGGGAGAACTTGTTTAGACATCTGGGCTTCTGTATAAATGGTCATGGGAGGGCTAAGGAAGGATATGTAACAGAAAACGTCAGACTGATTGAGGCATTGGAATGCCTCTTGATTACCTATGAAGTACAGGCCTTTGGACAGGCAGATCGGATGCTCTTCTGAGATAAAGAGGGAGCAAGCAAGGCAAAGTGATGATGTCATTTTGCCCCATGCATGTCAGGTTAGTGGTCTGTGTAGGGAATGCGAGACCCATAGCAAAGGGTCCCCGAACTGAGGATAAATTGCCAGTATTTGAGACAGACAGGTTAAAGTCTAGGGGGACAGGAACTGGAGTGAGCGAGCGGGGGTAAACAGATCTACACATCCAACAGTCTGAGATGTTGACAGGGAGATAGTGGAGGAGGCATTAAATAGTGTTGTAGGTGTTGTTGTGACTGGGTTATCTGGTTTACCACTTGGAGATCTATCCCTTATAGGGAGGTGGAGTGGAGGGCCTCAAAAGTCTCTCTATCTCTAGTGCCTGTTCATTGACTGCCTCTTTTGGTTATTCTTTTCTGAGGGGTATAAGACCAAATTAAAGTGAGACCTGTGTTAATCCATATGACCATCTTGCTGTCAAGGTCAATTAAGTCTCTTTAGGCATTATTTTGGAACCAAGCATACAGCCTCTTGGGTTCTATCAGTGTCAGCCATTAGGATGGGTTATGGGCCTTGCTTGACCAAGTTGCTTTCAGTGAAAGCATGAGAGATTTTTTTCTCTTGGTGACTCTTTTGGCACACATTACATTTGTCCTCTGGTATCCAGCATTCTCCCTGCTCCAGAGGTTGGGTGACTTACCAAAGATGTAAGCTGTTGTAGAACAGGTCCCTTCATACCTCGGATCTTTGATGACCTTGGAGGGCAAGGCCAAAATATTGGCAGTCCTCTTAGCCCAGTTACCTTTTAGTGTTGGTCTCTGCCCTTTGGTGGTTGAACACCCCGAAGAGAAGATCAGTGACATCAGTAGTACAGTAGGAGCAGTGAGCTTAACTATCATAACGTTATGTGGACAGCAAGCACCCTGGAATCTAAAATATAGTTAGAGGACTGTTATTATTATCAATCCTGGTTGTTCTAGTAATTGATTTCCTGTAAAATATTAACAAAAAACTTTGAGTCAGGAGCCACACATAATAATATTTTAGCATGACAATCATTATGACATCTTTGCCTCAAACTTAGATATGTATCTTGGTATAAATAGCCATTGTTAAATGTGTTTATTCCCCTCTAAAAACACATAAAAACGCCAGGAAACTCTTATTTAAGTTATTATCTTTTTTTTTTCAGCTTTAATTGAGTTTATTGGTACATTTTAGGGATACAGTATAGTTACATTCATTGTTGGGATCTTGTACCTCTACATGACAAGTCTTGATTAAGTTATTATCTTTTGATAAGATGCCATTTAAGGAAAATGTATGGGCCTATAAATGTACCTGTAATCATGAGTGTGTGGAGCAGAAGGGAAGGGAGAATACCTGGATCAAAAGGTTATTGTCATAAACAGTATGTTGGAAGACCTGTATAGTCAGAAAACATGAAAGTATTTTATACACCAGAAAAGTAGTAATAATAATTATTATTATAATTTTATGAAACCTTAGGTCCTATAGTGTAGCCTGGTACCAAAAGGATCTTTTTTAATAACTCCTTGTTTTTCCACAGAAAATATTATATTTTGAAGATGACCATTATAAACATATCACGATAACATATTTAAAACTCAACCCTTTGATGATAACTGATGTAAACATTTTATAACAACATATTTAGTGAGGTATATCTTCCCAAAAGGCTATGAAAATTATTGGGGCTCCCATTAGTGAACAAAGACCAGAATAAATTTTTCTGAGAAGCTGCTTCTTTATTCACTAACAGAAGTCTATACAAACCTAAAAGTTTATATTTAATTATCTTGAGAATTTTTTATTTAACCTGTAAAACCAGGTTGTACAAATTAACTATTTGTATCTTTGATGTCATTTTGATCAAAAAATATAATTTGACAAACACTTTCAAACTATTGGACAGACACAAACATATAAGACAATTTATGAAACTAGAGTGCACTCAAATATATTTGGCCAATTGAATTATAGCATCTCTTTAATTAAGACTAGTCAAAACTTTTGCAAGTCAATTAACAGAGATCTCGTGCAATTAGAATCAGAAGGAGTAAAAGCGTTTTGTAACAGTAGCATAATTATGTGTTATAGTCATTGTCAGAAGTCTGTAAACAAAGTAGAGAGAAGGTCAAGTTAATCCTATAATTACAATTTAATAATTTGCAATGTAGAATGTTTCAAATACATCGCTTAAACATCTGGAAACCAAACACCAATCAAACATTATTTTAAGTTTAAGATGAAAGATACATTTGTCAGTTAGCCAGAATTCATAATTTGTTTGTTTGTTTGTTTTAAGATTTTCCTTCCTGGCAGGACATCACAGCTGATTTTACTATGGAGCAAGCAGTCTGTAGCCAGCACTGGGCTGTAACCTCGTATTTGGTTTTTGAGCTCCAATCTTAAGCGTTACAATTTCTTTGAATTGTTTTAAAGCCTTATATTTTATTTTCCAATATTTATGTAGAAAACAGTAGGGTCCAATGGAATTTCTTGGTAATGCCACCTGCCAAACAAGTTGTTGGTATGTAAATAGGCAGGGCCAGGAGAGGATTTTACTACCCCCCACCCCGAGGGTCTTGCTTTCCTCTCTATTCTGAGGAAGCTGGGGAAAGAAGAGCAAGCAGGGAAGTGGTTGTGAACTCACCTTCCTGTTTGGGAGAGGCTGGAGGAGCAGCGAGAGTGTGGGTGTGTGGTGGAGAGACACAAGATGGCGGAGGTGAGCATGGGAAGAGAGGGACGAGCTGGCCAGGTTATAGGATGGGGGCGGTGTGAGTGGTGAGTGATCCCCGGAGGGACGGTTGGAGGCTGGAGGGGTGGAGGATGGAGTTTGGGCTAAAAACACCCGAGAGGTGGAACAAGTTTAACAGAGGGATGGGCACGAAAGAAGGCTTGTAGATAGGGGGTTTCTGACCATTTGCCATTGTGTTGACAA